CAGCTCTTTGACTCATAGCAAGTAATTCCGGAGAGGTCCTTGGCAGCAGACTTTCCCAGTGCAATTCATCTTTTGATTTCTTGGCTGCTGGTACCAAGAGTGTTGATTGTGGAGCCAAGCAAATTAAAGCTTTTAACAGTCTCAATCTCTTTATCATCTATCATGATGCTGCCAATTGGCCCAGTGGTGAGAAACTTTGTTTTCTTTGTGTTGAGCTTCAATCCATATTGAAGACTACAGTCCTTGACCCTCTGCAGCAAGCACTTCAGGTCCTCCTCAGTTTAAGCAAACAGAGTTGTATCATCTGCATAACATAGGCTGTTGATGAGTCTTCGTACAATCCTGATGCCATACTTCTCCTCATAGAGCCCAGCCTCCTGGATGATCTGTTCTGAATATAGATTAAAAAAAGTGTGTAGGTAGGACACATCCCTGGTGTACATGCTTACTGATTTTGACCAATGTAATATTTTCCTGCTCTATTCTGATGGCTGCATCCTGGTCTAAGTATAGGTTTCACATAAGCACAATCAAGTGTTCTGGGATTCCCATTCTTCTCAGAGTCAACCACAGTTTGTTGTTATCCACACAGTCAAATGCCTTTGCATAGTCAATGAAACACGGATATACCTCTGGTACTCTCTGCTTTCAGCCAATATCCATCTAACTTTAGCTATAATATGATGATGATGTTATTGTTGTTAAGTGTCGTCAAGTCATAGGTGACTCATAGCGACCCTATGAATAAAAGACCTGTACACTTGTGTAACTTTCATCATTTCTCCAGGTTCATCGGGTTTCTGGAGAAACACTATTTCGGAATGATGCCACTCCTGCTTCCAAGCTTGTTATAATTGGGGAGCTTCACCAAACACTGTCCACCATGGGCAACCATTATCACATTTGACACGTCAGTGTCACAATGTTCAGTATCATATTGAAACTATCAGCAGCTTCATTTTACTTAGATACGTAATCAACATCCTTTGTACCGGTAGTCAGGAAATCAGGAGACGTATTATACTGGGCAACTCTGTAATCAGGGACCTCTCCAGATTGTTGAGGAGCAATGATGTCAATTTGAGGACTAAGGTGTGCCTCACTTGCTATGCATCAAAGAACTGGACAGTGAATAAAGATGACAGAAGAACTGATGCCTTTGAACTGTGGTTTTGGAGAGGAGTAATGAGTTCTCCATGAACTACCAAAATAATAAATAGATATATCTTGGGAAATGTGCACCCAGAGTACTCCTTGGAGGCAAAGGTGATGAAGCTTCCTCTCACATATTTTGGGCATGTTGCTAGGTGAGGCTATTCCTTGGAAAGGCAGAGGGAGGGTAAAAGAGAGGGGCAGTGGGCTCAAATATGTCAGATATAGTGAGGAAAGGCACAGGATAGGACAGGTTCAGATCTCTTGTTCATAGGGTCTCTATGAGCAGTGTTCAGCTCAACAGCCCTTAACAACAACTGCATAGCAGATTCCATGATAATTACTCAAGAAACATTTTCCCCTAACTTATTTCTCACAGATCTATACCAAAGTTTTTATTATTATTTCCATATTACAGCTGGAAAGAAGATATAATTTATTATATAATACAGGGGATTTTTTTAAGAAATGCATAAGATCAATAATGCATTAAGATCAATGGGCATATATGGTCACCTTACTTAGTAAGTTGTCAAGGGTCCCACCATAATGGCTGAACTAAGATTTGTGACTCCAAGACTTATATTCCTAACTGCCATTTATAGGGACACAGGAAGCTCTTGTACATTGCCAAATACACATAGCTATTAAGTGGCAGTTCCAGCCTCCAAACACAAGTCAATCTAAACCCAAAACCTACCATATAGTGTGGTTTCCCGGGATGCGAATTTAAAGATCCTTTGGCAGAGGAACATAAGGGGAGAAGGATGCATGTGAAAGAGGAGGAAGGCATAGGCAACCACCAGGCTAAAGACTCCAGCAGCCTTGGCTGCCAGCACTTACATCCACTCACAAAGCTTCCAGGCCGCAGATGCCTGGGAACCTGCTGTGCCTTAGACTGCGGGCTAGGTCCTCAAAGACAGTGCTCCCTGCCCTCGCAGAGCACAGAGCCCACATTCACGACCAGCTCACAGAGATGTCAGAGCCTTTTGTTTTCTTCCTACATAGTAGGGACTGCAGTGACTCCATGATTGTTAATAAGGAAGAAGCCTTGATGATGACGTCGTTAAAGTGCTCAGTTGCTAACCAGAAGAGGGAATATCTTTTACAAAATGTGTTCAGGGAAAACCTGATAAAAAAAATCCTAAGTTATTCTTTTTCTGACCAAAACTCAGGAAACCTTTGCTAAGTGCTGTATGCTATGTACATGGCAAAACTATTAGATTCATGTTGTGCAACCATTTCTCCCCCCCCCCCATCATGCTGGGAAATGTAGAGGGTCACAGAAGAAAAGAGGTAAACTCTCTCTGACATGGACTGGCAAGTGACTGTAAAAATGGGCTCGGAAATATGTCAGAGATGGGAAGGATGACTCAGACTAGGGAAAGATTCAGCTCTGTTATCCATGAGGTTGCTATGAATTGTAGTGGACTTGATGGACCTAACAACAACAATATTGTTCTAGTCAGTTGACACGCTTGCGGTAGATTTGGTTTATTGTTTTGGTCATTGTTGAAAATTTGCATAACAAATAAGTTTGAGTTGTTATTAGTTGTACACACCATTGCCTGTACAGAAAGTGTGTGAAGGACACAGAGAGCCCAGAAATTAACTTGATGAGCCAAAAGCTTATTAATAGATGCATTATTATTAGAGATTTAAATACTTATGTTGGTTGCTTTGATGGACAGATGCCTTGATTAATGCAATCTCCCTTCCAAGAGAGACGGGAATACTCATCGATGCGCCAAAATTTTCTTTCAATAAAAAATAAAAAGCATTATTACTCTTACTGGTTAATATTCTTAATTTCAAACAACTGAATTTACACTAACTAGTATAGACACTGTGTGTTGGGAGAAATGCAGTCAAAGAGCTTCTTAGAAGCAAAAATTGTAGGAATCCATATTACTTTACGTGCAAGTTGGGCAATTTGTTAAGAGAGGCCAATGTTTGGAAGAGGACGTTATGCTTGGAAAAGCAAGAGGTCATTGAAGGAGAGGAAGACCCTCAAAGATGGATTGGCACAGTGACTGCAACCATGAGCTTAAGGATAGGGAGGTGGTGAGGATGTTGCAAGATCGGAGAAGTTTCGATATGTTGTACGTAGGGTGCCTGTGAGTTAACCTGACAGCACCTACCAAAAGTGTGTGCACAGAGGCATTTAATTGGTGTTTTGAACAAATTTAACCAGACACTCTGCTCAGACTGTTTTGGCTGAAAGTATTATACTAAAGATAAAAGTACTAAGGCCCAGAGAAGCAAGTTATCTTTCCATACTCATTCAAAAAGCATTGTTGAGTACCATCAGTGACTGTACAGAAATGTACAGTACTGGATTCCTGCTGTCAGGGAGCTCATAGTCAGTCTGATTTCTAAACAGTAATTCACTCCTTGGTTTGAAAAAATTCAGGCTCCACAGTTTACTGCATCAGAATGTTTAAATTCTACTTCCACTGAGGCCATTCAGACTTAGATCAACCCTCCACTTATGGAGCAGAGTGACCATCTCTCTTCTGTGGAGCAGCTAGTAAGATTCAAACCACCAGCCTCTTTGTTACCAACCTAATGCCTTACACACTTTCCCAACCAGGACCCTTTCAGAATCTCCAGAGGGCCTTACAATCTCTGATTAGCTCTGGTGGCTTTGTGGTAAGGGGTTGTGCTGTCATCCCAATGACGCACAGTTCAAATGGACCAACTCCTCCATGAGAGAAAGATGAGCAGTCACCTCTTGTGTGATTTACAGTCTCTGACAACCTGCTAGCGGTCAGCAGGAGTCAGTTTCTGATTCAACAGGACATAACAATAAGTGATTCTGATGTGTCTCTCGGTATGGAAACACCTGGTCTAGGTGACCCTGCACATCTGAGCTGCAGAACCACGGCTGGCCAGTTCTCCTGACCTCCAGTACAGAGCATCCTCTGCAAAATCACACTGGATCTCCATTATTGACAGACAACTAATTCTCATTCTTAGATGAAAGTTTGTTACTAGAATTTTGGTAAAAATTTTGATTGTGAGTAGTTACTTCTTTTAAGTGTTTTTAGGTGCCTGTAAAGCAGGACTCATAGCAACCCTCTGAACTACAGATCTGAATATCACTACTTTAAATAGGAAATTAGGTTTCTTTGTTGAGTATATTGTAGTTGAATCATCCCTGACTTATGGCCCCACATGTGCTAAAGTAGAACTGAGCTCCATAGAGTTTTTAACCACTGATATTTCAGAAGTAGATGTCCAGGAATTTCTTCTAAGGCAATAGGGGTGGACTAGAACCTCTACCGTTGAGTTTATAGCCAAGTGTGTTAATCATTTGCACCACTCAAGGATTCTTCACGAAAGTGGATAGGTTTGC